AGATAGCATAGTATTGATTTGGAGTTTATTTAACGCAAATAGGATAGAAATTTAGCATATTGATTACAATGGTATAAACGCAATCATAAAATCAAACTATAAATAAATGATTATTGTAATTAGTTATAATATACAACAACGTTAAAATAAGTGAATTTTCACTATAATAAATAGGATCGAGGGAGGACGGCACCGGATCGGGACGGAGAAAATGCATAGAAGATAAGCTCCCACTAAAGTTTGACGGGCTCAGGTTTGTCAAGACATTGATGACGATGCATCGGTGACTCTGCAGTACTCTTTATCGACACTTCTCCCTCTTCTTTGAATGTTCTCCTCTTCCTCGCCTCGCCTCGCCTCGCCTCGTCGCAACCAGGCTAATATTGTCCGGTAGCGGACGGTCTATTGCTAGTCAACTGGCGGACCGATACGTATTGCCGACGATACGGAACGGTATTAAAAACCCTATATAAACACAATCATAAAATCAAACTACAATTAAATGATTATTCCAATCAGTTGTAATATACAACAACATTCAAAAATATGTGAATTTTCTCTTAAATAAATAGCACAATGTTGATTTCGAGTCTATTTAACGCAAATAGGATAGAAATTTAGCATATTGGTTGCAATGATATAAACGCAATCATAAAATCAAAGTACAAGTAAATGATTCTTGCAATTAGTTATAATATACAACATTGAAATAGCCACCAAAAAGAGGTCCCACCGGGATTCGAACCCAGGTCGCCAGATTCAAAGTCTGGAGTGCTAACCACTACACCATGGAACCACTTGGTTGACATCACTGTCACTATTCCCTAATTATACAATTTCTTTTCAACACTCGGTGTTCAACTACAGTAGAAGCTGAAAAAGACGCAAATAAGTACATCACTTGCAATGGCGAAGGCCGGTCATTGCGATCTGCCAAATAAAACACACAGTAATATTGCCCGCTCGAGTTATGGCAGACCTTTCATTCTTAGGAAGAATAAATGGAGATACTGCAATAGACAGTGTTTACAAGATTCAAACCAGAAGTATCAAAAGACACAGATGCAAACCATGAAAGTAGTGTATTATTCATTTCAAATAGGTCCTACAATATCAGCACACGGTAGGTTCTCCATTCTGTGGAATCGAAGTATCAGCAAAGCCACGATGAGAGAATACTCATCCATGATCCTCGAACAAAGATGAAAATACAACAGAGTAACCAGAGATGATGGCTTTATGGTGATAACTTGTAGCTAGGAGATGTAGCTTGCATACGACTACTCATGGTGTTGCAAAATTTTCCATGCCGATAACTTGGCTGCAATTAGATCATTCAGTTTCTGTCAGATGCAACAAACTTGACATTCTCCGCATGATAGTTCAAAGATAACAAGCTATCTTTATCCTAAAAGTATAGGAACCAAATTGATTTATGACGTAATAACCAAAAGATGGACAGTTAATCACTTGCAGTCCAGTTCAGTTCAACAATTACAAAGATTAACCCACTACACCAGAAAGACAGCAAGAAGCAACACAAAATTCCTTGCTTGAAGTCTCGTTCTTATCGTTAACTCTTAGGCAAATGATTCTACAAATTATAGAGCTAATCTACCTGACATCATGCATCCAAACATAAATTGCACGATTGATTCCATGGATTTTCAGTTATCTCATGACCATAATGTACACCAAGTTCTATGTTTCATCCTGACCATAGTAATGGAAGCCACCTCCAATATCCATCATCGATTGGATGGGGCAAACGTATACGTTCTTATGATGTTTCAAAAGTTTAGTTTTACCCTCTACCCTCTCTATATTTGGATTGCACATATGTCCCTTGGATGGCAACAAGCTTGCATAACTCAATACATTTTCTGAGGGAATTAAAGTTTTGCTAACAAAACACCTTCATTTGAGTTAGATCCAGTAAACCCATGACCCACCAGCCGATGATAATATGTAGCCGGTGCAGCAAAGTGAGCAAAGTTGAACAACAACAAAAGCAGATCTCAAATTATATCGGACACAAGGAATAGTAGATCAAGAAAATTTGACTAGCAAACTTATTTCACGTCTTGCAAGTGCTTTTGAAATCTATATCTAAATGAAGTTCCATGACTAGAACAGAAATTTTCTTATAAAGAGATTTTTTTCTAAATCTATCAATGATATTAGTTTCTAAATCAAACACTAGTCCTATCCTCATTTACATCATTTTCATCTGTTCCTTAGCTTTCTGAACAAATATGAAAGTCAGGGCAGAGCATTTCAATGCATAGCAAATAATCTTCTTCAGATAATCTAAGAAAAAGTATGCTGCAAAAATCTTGTGGTTTTTCCGATCATTTCACATGGCTTCCAAAGCTATTAAAGCTAGACGACAACCAAAAGGTATCCGTAAGAACAATAATATCCAATTCTGGCAGTCCGGCTAATGCCTGTAACAATAGGGAGATAAGTCACCCAAGCTAATCAGTGACACCAATGAATGGGAAACATAATATGTTATCCAGGAATGAGGTTCCAACTCCGACTTCTTAACTTGAGAAGATGTTACTCATGGCACAGCAAAAATGCCTGACGAGTTCTCATCGTGCTTTTGCCTTTGGAATGATCATGTTAGGGTTTTGGTCGACATTAAACAGTATATGTTTACTTCGGATCAAGCCAGTCCATGTAATAAATACATGGGAAAACGCCGACTTTAACAAGTTGATTCAGAAAGAAGCGCGGTTCCCAAAATTGGCCGATCCGAAACCAGATCGGGATCAGCACACCTCAAAATCGAAGGATATTTCAAGCTTTCATGTGAGTCTAAGCATCGGAAAGCAAGATATATAAATAAACGACGTCAATCGATCGAGAATGAGAGCATTACCCTCATCAGTGCCCTCCATCATGGGAACAGCAACGATGGCTGGGCCCGGCGCCGCCATCCGTCGGGGGATCAGCGCCGCCATCCTCCTCGTCGCTGTCGTCCTCGTCGAATGGCTTCTGCTTGTGGAAGATGCAGCACTTCTTGGAGCTTTTCCGGTTGAGGAACTCGTTGTCGACGGTGCCCTCCTTCCAGGAGACCTTCTTGGGGCGCTTGAGGCGGAGGACGAGGGTCTGGTGGGGGGACGGCTGCGATGGCCGCGATGTGGAGGAAGGGGATGGCTCCTCGAGGGTTATCGTAAGGGTTCCGGTGGATGGGGAGGCCGTCGCGGGTCTCGCCATCGCGAGTCTCGCTCGCCTCCTCGCGGAATATTATAAGAGACAATAGTAAGAGGCCGGACGCCTATTTAAAGTATGAGAGGAACCTTCCAAGGAAAACTCTCTCTCTACGTTCTGGTGCTGACTTCACTTCTTACCTGTACTGCGATTACGAGTATCAATGTGCTTTTAGTGGGCCCCACACCAGGTACCAATGACACAACGCTGGTAAGACGTCGGTGCGGTCTCCATCGTGGCTTCCTGACTATTAATAAGAAGGGCAAATTCCAAACAAATAAATAAATAAACTTTCATTATTTTCGCAGAATATTTTTTTTGCTTTATTCGGGCAGGATGATCAATTCTGGCCTTATTTATTATTTTACTTTTTTTTTTGTCTGATCCATTTTTTTATCCCAACATCGTTTTGATCGTTTTCGTCTTAAGTTTAAGTTTCTATCGTCTCTGTCTCATATGATTAGTTATTTGATCATGTCTTCGTAAAGGCTTCTAAGACTTTTGAGCATATCCTCATCCTCCTCGATCATATTATTGCTTCGATAGAAATTTAAAAAATAAAAAAATATTATATCTATTAGTATAAATTTTATAAACGACGGATTGGACCGATTCAATCAATTCTTGAAGTCTAACCAGCACTATCTTATTAAGCATTATTTTAGGGATGACAAAAAAAAAGTCCCTTGAAAAAAAAAAAAAAAGAGTATAAATTTAGAAAACCTTAAAAAGGTTTTTTGTTTGAGGGGTGGATATGTATAAGAGATTTTATTTTGCTGTTTTGTTTTGGTGTTCCAAATAATTAGCTGATTTCTTAAAGAAAGAAGCAAGCTTGGTTAATTTTTTTTTTATTGGCGTAAAAAATGGTTTTCCTCAAAATGTGCATCGAGTAAAGAAAAGGTCATGCATTTATTAATGGATTAATGAAGTGACAAAGAAGACTTTTGGGAAGCATAGCAAAAGATGACCACTGAGATTTATTTTGGAAGGATGGGAAGTGATTTAGAGACACTGCACAGATACTGATATTACAACAGCTGAAAGCAATACTCTACTTTGAAAACATTAGCATGTTTGAAGATAGAGAGAGAGAGAGAGAGAGAGAGAGAGATTTGGACAGCCATTAATCTGTCAAAAGGAGAAGGATTTCTCAATCATCATCAGGTATCAATAAATCCTTCCTACTTGTTTAGAACTAGTGGATTGTGCAGACCAGCTCTGAGTAGATCCAGCAAGTGCATCTAAACCACCTTCCAGTGTACAACAATTATCACAAACAAAGATTCATCTAAATTCAATCCACCAGAGCTTTTTTCTTCTGATATTTTTTATCAACAATACAAATTTTCTGAGAACCTAATGATGAATAAACTGATTTCTCACCAAAGGAATTAACAGAAAAAAAAAACAATTAAAATGCTGGGAAAAGACTCTGCTTCTTGAGCTTTCACAGATGTATCATTGCCTTGTACAAGAATTACAATCTCTTCCACAATTCACTTTCACTGACATAGCATCAAGAAAGTTTTGAACAGAAATCTAGTTAGCTAAGTTCAGCTTTATTCAATGAAACTCCAGGATTGATTCATGTCATTCAGACATTTCTTGATCTAAAACATCTTTGTTCAAGGTTCAACTCATTTTTCGGCACTCATCGATGAGGCTCATCTAAACTGTCAAGATGTGTTTCTTTTTACCTTTCATCTGTTCTTCTCTGTAAACTTGGATAACTTTGATCCCTGATCAATTCATTTCAAGATAAACTATCTCATCATCATTTATATGACAATATTGTAGCTTTATTGAATTGTGCAGAACATTGATACTGTTCCTGTGCACCAGAGAGAGGATGACAATCTACACTTCTCGATGAGCAACAAACTCTCTCATGGAACAAAATACATGGGATTAGGCAGTTTAAATAAGCGGTTGCCAATGCAATCTCCTGACAAGTCGCTCCACTGATCCCCGATGTTCCCTCGAATCCGGTAGCCCTCTGACACCAGCTGCTTCCTGATGGCAGACTTGAACACTGCTGCACCCTGTCCTCTGTAAGCTTGGTTTCTGCAGTGGTCTCACCAAGTGAATTGTTACTGAAAGCTAAAACCAAGATGAACACTATTGGGCTGTGTTAAGGAATCATGAATGGGAGTGGAAATACATGTTTCCACTTTGATCAGAATTGGAGTTGATGAACCGTTAGCAGTATCAGATGTATGTTAAGGAATAACAATGAATGGGAGTGGAAATATATGTTTCCACTTTGATCAGAATTGGAGTTCAAGAACTGTTAGCAGTATCAGATGTCTAAATCCTGGAAGATTAAACATCAGTTAGGCACAAATTGGAGTTTTAAGCTTCCTAAATGGCTCAAGCTATTTCCTTAAAAGATTTAAAAGCAAAATTATGCAATCATCCTACATCTTGATTGGACCCAGAGTTCAAGTAATGTCATTCTTTAATTGTTTTGTGTCATGTATCTGCAAGACAGATGGAACATCTCTGATTTGTGGAGATCAAATTGGTGGTCCACTCTGGACCTTCATCCTCACATCTCCATATGTTAACATATGTTTCTATCCACAATCTGCATAATATTGGCTCGTAACCTCTTGTTTATATAGCTTGCTAAGATTGCAGTAGACCGAAAGCAATGCATGGGTGGATGTTAACAGATCAAATCTGAAGAACAAGGGCAAAGACAGTTGACTTTGGTTTCGAAAGATCTCCCTGCTTCTCATAGGTAAGCCATGAATAGTTCCTACCAAGTTCAACTTGTTTATGCAAAAATGTTAATCAATCATTCACAGAGATGATAAATTGCTTATAAAGTAGAGATTTCACTAGTTCTTAGCGTTAGATGATAGTCCTTTACCTCAGTATCAACCTCTCATGTCCCGTGAACCCCTGCGCATGCAGATTCTGAGATGTTGATGAGCTGAACACCACTTCATCTCTTCCAGTGAGAAGAAAGACTTTGAAGCCTTTTTCTATCAGCCTTTTATACAGCTGAAGGACTGCAGGAATCGCCGGACAAACCCCTTTCTGAGCCCAGCTCTTGAATGCCAGAGGATCATATGGGTCTCCTCTGAAGCAGCAAAGCCATATCAGCAGCAGCAAGTTGATAGCAAGCAAAAACAACAGAAAACCTGTGTTACCTTACCCAAAATGCTTGTCCTTGTAGTACAGAAGATTCGATAGGCATGTGTCGTCGACGTCGAGGATCCAAGCATCCATGCCATCATCAGCTGCAAGGGTTCCATTGAGGTAGATAAAGATCTGGTCGATGGCCGTGTCAAGGTCCCTGTTGTATTGGCCTCCGAGCATGTAGTCCTCGACGTAGCGAGTGCATTGTGCAGGAACGGTGCGCCAGGCCTGGGCGTTGTTAGCTTCCACCGCCACCCTCCAGCTAAGGCAATAGTTCATGTCCGAAGCCGAGCCTGAGCCTGAGCCTGAGCACGGCCTCGCGGCGATGGCTCCCCAGAAGAGGTTGGCGAGCAGAAGCAGCAGTGTTTCCCATAAGGCCGCCATCTCCGTCTCTGCACATCGAGGCAACTCAAGAACGCTGCAATGGTGGAGAAGATTGGAAGTATTTAAAGCTACAAGACAGTGATCCCTTGGCATTTGTTTGATGAAATGGCCAATGAGTTAGCATGAGGTTTCTTTCGGTTTCACCTGTGGAACAGTGGGCATTTGACTCGCTTACACCTCTTTCTTTATCGACAAAAAGCATAGAAACAAGAATGGCAAAGGGAATCATCCCTTTTGAATGCCCAAACCACTTGCTGCTCCAATATTTCTCCAAGTTGGCTCGTAGATGGACACGGAGCCAACGAATTCCCTCAAGTCAATACTTTCACATGGAAATGTCTGCCACATCCATGTGTAAATTGTCTTCAACAGGGCTCGACTTCCATCACAATGTGGACTATCTCATGCCAAAGCCTCGCTTTTCCTCGGCGTGACCCTCATGCACTACACCATGCCGTCACTTTCGGGATGCTGTGTGCAAGCGTGCGTTCGAGAGACACAGAGAGAGAGAGAGAGAGAGAACCAACCCGAAGCCAAACGGATGGGATTGGGAAGCTCGAGAGGAAGAAGTCTACAATTAATGAAAGGTGGCAAAAAAACACAGAAAGAGAAAAGAAAGCATGGAACTACGTAAGAGGGAGATGGGAATTATTGTATTGACCCAATTCGTAGTGATGCAGGGTCGGCTGTCAGCTTGATCGGCGAGTGCTCCACCGTTCTCATGACGCCATTCGCTTGGAATCTAATGATGCAGAGAAGGTGTTTGTGTAATTGTTTGGTGCACCTGTTTGCAGAGCACCTACCCAGTGGGCCTGTGCAGAACACATTTTTAAGGATTCTGATGGTACTGAGCAGGACCGTTTGATCTAAATTTCATAATTGATTGGGTTGGTATAAGATTTTATGATGTGGTTGGTCTGATTCTGATTGAGGAATTGGTAATTAATTTGCAGGAGAATTTGGTCAGAGTTGAGGAATTGGTAATTAATTTGCAGGAGAATTTGGTCAGAGTTGACCTATTCGGACCACTAGGAAGGAATAGGATCCAAGTCATCCAGGCCAAATCTTAACACTGCAAAGCAAGGAAGTTGGAATCCAAGTTGGGTTGCATAAAGGGTAAGGCAGCAGCACTAGCAGCTAGTAGAGGGATGCCACTTTTTTGGGTGGATCATGAATTATGGGCATCCAAAGCATATATTTCCATGGATGATGATCCATAACAAGGTCAATGCAAGCCACAGGCCACATTGGCTTTTGGACAAATCATCCTTTGGCCATGACCAAGGGTGATAATTTGTCACTTTTGGGTGGTCTGGGAATCAGATGCTTGGTGGTGGCATCATTTTATTCTTCATGTATCACTCTCTGGAGTCTTAAAGAAAACAGATCAAGGAGAACAGAAGCATGATGCTGCCATTATTTTTATTTCCCTTGGCTAAGTACCTCCTCAGATTCATAATAACAAAAAATTTATATATATATGATAGATAACATGATATGGTCCATGATAAGATTCCATGAAGCACTTAAATTATGAGTTCAATGGCCCCAAAACCAGAGTTAAAAACAACCAAATCCTCAGAAGAATGCATCTGTTCCTTGGTTATAAGATTATTGTAGAATCTGTAAGTCTAGATAATGGAGCAGTGTAACCTTGCAAATGAAGTGAGGACATGATGCAGCAGGAACAAAAGAAATGGTCATTGACTGACACACATACCTGCAGTGCTAGTAGTAGAAGGGACCACTGTAGTGCTTGTACCACAGCCATTGGTCTCAAAGTCATTTCTTCTGTGAGCAATGTCAGCTCTCTAAACAAGACTGAAATGTATTTTCACTTGCTCTGTTTTGACCTCAACCTGGGTGGTGTCTTCAAGTGCTGCACCTCTGGGGGTTCCATCTTCTGTCAAAGAATCTGTGCCACCAATGAGTTGTTGACAGTGGAGCACTTTGTTTCAGTCATTGCCAATTGTAGTGGAGTGATAAATGAAAGCCACAATGAAGTTAAAATTACAGATTGCAACTTGTACTGTTACTCCCAATGGTCCCCTGGGTATCTATAGAACTTCCACCATTTCTCTGTTCTGCTTGAAAAAAGAGCCCAAGAACATGAAATGGCCACACAGTTAATTTCCCATCATGAAATTTAAATCTTCTATGTTGATTTTTAACTTCTGTCCTCATACTTTTGCATTTAATTATTTTTCCTTTCTAATATATTCATGGTTTATGCTGGCTATTGCAGGATTGAAGTGACTAAACACTCAAAGAATGTTCTATATCAACTATTCATCTTAAGAGAATTATTTCTTCTACAAAAATAATTTCCGACACTAATCAAATCTGTTTGGAGTATATAAAGCTTATGAGAAGATTTACAACAATATGTCATGAAATATCCACCGACTACAACTTAAACCTACAAGCACACCTTCTGCAACCAACTAATTAGATACCAAAATTTGATCGTACTCCTCGTTTGCGTGATGGCAATGGTAGTGTATTACTCTCAAATGATGCATCAAGGCATGTGATCGTCGATCTACCACTTCAACAGGTGTGAGTCGGATACATTTCCTCTGAAATCATATACCTGCCAGAATCATTTTTACGGAAAGATCACAAAAAGAAATACTAATAGAATATACACGACCGAGAATAAACTGAGCAAATCACCTACCAGCTCTACAATTATGACATGGACATCCCTCTGTAGCCTCCCTCTCAAGCTGGTTTGCTAGTGAAACATCACCTGTCTTTACAATCATGCCATCCTCCTGAGCATGAACAAATGAGAACACTTGATATATTGAGAAACTAATGACTTATATGACTTGAAATCTAATTTACAAACTCAACTGCAGGACTTCGACCAAACAAGATGTGGTCTACAGATTTAGGTGGTTTCCAAGTATTCTCTATCACTTTGTTTTGCTAAACACAACCGAATGGCAAGCAGATCACACATAAGATGATGAACAGTACCACATGAACTTAACAAGAAACAAGCCAAAGAAAAAAATATGTTCGGCAATAAATGGTACATTGGTACTTAACATTCTCATCCTGTTTATGACCTTGGTTTGGTTCAAAATTTAACAAGATTCGTCAGTATTGGAAAACAAACATATTTAACAATTATGTAAAGCAAGAAAGCAATAAAATCACTAATCATATTTAGGTTAATACAAGTAGCAAAAACTCAAATATATCATGTACACTATATGTTGCCTAAACAGGATCTGTATTAGAGTATACTATCACTTCCGGCAAGCAAAAATTAGGTTAAAAACCACAAACTCTAATTATTGTAATGATAACTACCAAGAAATGCTGAAATAACTACAGAATAATTGAATAGGAGCACTATCAGACAAATGACGATAAAGGCATAAAGCAGCTCTTTAACAAGCTTGATCTATTGAGATATAAGTTCCCTACCACTATATGAACATAGCTCGGATTGATATAATCCAATAGGCGTTTATAATGTGTGATCATCAAGACAGAATTATTTTAGGTGTTACCTGGTAAAGACCTTTACAGTTTCTCACAAGGTCCTGAGTTTGAATCTCATCTTCATCACTGACTCTTTGCAAAAATATATATATATTAGCTTTGGAAGATTAGCATGACAACAGAGGCAAAGGAGAAAACTCATTAATAATGGGACAACAATTTGGCAGTGCTTAACTATGGACACGTCAAACCAATAATATGATTTGTTGGAAATTTGATCATGCATATTTTATGTTTTACATGACTTTTGATATTTATAACTAGCATAATCTCAAAATGACAAAGATAAATACTCCCATTGCTTACCGGATTGATTTTGTCATACAGCAGAAGAGTAAGAATACATACTGCAAGTTGCAGAATTTCATTCCATTTCATTTCACCACCATTGAAGATTTCATTTACATTTCTGTCAACAAACTTTGGATTCATATTTGAAGCAGCAACTTTGGGAGTCACCAAACTGTAGAACTGCAAATATAATACAGAAAAATATCATTAACCATAGTGATTAAACAACATAGAAAATGCAAAATTATCACTGGCAGCACAATGAAAACAATATAAACATCATCATCTACAAAGGAATCTTCTTTAGTATAAATATATAGCTAACATAAAGAAGCTAAAGAGATACAGTTAAAATAATGTAGAAAACTAAAGCAACATGAACTTCATATATGATAGCGGCTTACTGGAAGCTGATGATTGTGGAATATCTTACTCGTAGAAATGGGAGTTGTGATGGATAGATCATACTACATCTTTTGAACAAAAATTGTGATATTAACAAAACACCATCTTATTTTCTCTAGTTTATCATTTTGATTTCATTATCTGAACCAGAAAAATCGTAACGGAATCCTGACATAGAGAGAAAGGCACAAGCAACATCTTATGTATTAGGAAAAAAGGAGCACGAACAGAGCCAATAGATTGTCGATACTAACTGGCTGGTTGAACTGAAGAACCACTTATACCTACCCTGAATTGGCACAATAAACAACCGAACATATGTTCCATGGTAACTGCCAAACCAGTCAATAGGCAATGGAACTGGCCATTCTCCCAATTCCATTCCTTATCTTTTCAATAGAACAAGCAAAAACACACTATCCGGATCACAATCTTTTAATTGATGTTCTGAAAAGAGAACTTGTACCAAAAAGAACTAAATTAAATTACTTCTGTAATTTGTCAGAACTCATCAGAAGTTCAGGGTACCATTGTGGATCAATTTTATATGGAAATGCATGATAAATATGTTGCTTAAGACATAGTATGCATAATCTTGCTAACTTATGCATTCTAAGAACATATTTATTTTCAATTTTCATGTGTCTACATTTATACAACTTCTCATTCATCTTTTATAATTTCTACCGGAGTCTTATTGTATATTAATTCTTTTACTTCAAAATATTTTGTCAAACATTTGTTTCGACTGATTGACCCACAGTTTGTAGCAAGACCTAGCTCAGCCAATATCCACATTAGTTGTAATAACATCGAGAACATTTTTATCTGGTTTGCTAATTTGACTAAGCATTTCCCTGCATAATATTTTTAGTATAACCAAAATAACTGTAAAGATAAACACAAGACATGTCAACCACTAATTTTGAACAAATTAACACAACAATTTTCATATAGACATATAAATGTAGACACACGCTTTATTTTTCTAGGCAATTATTTCTTTGCAATAACTAGATAAGGGTTACTTATACTTTTAAGCAAGAGAATAAGCCAAACTATATCGATCAGCATACTATTTCTGACACAGCTGCAAATTAAGATAAAAATGCTGGAATTTACAGAGCATCTAGTTGTATTGCAATAATAGCAGTCTCTATTAAGTGTGTTCTATAGGATATTGCATGTGCCATTTCAAAACGGAAAGAACGATCAAGAACATCGAGGACATGAAAGTCAATATTACAACCTAAAGAACAGGATTTAAAAGTTTGCACACCTCAAGGGGTTCTACCAGTGGTAGCCCATGGTTACTTCTTTGAGAAGTGAATGCCATAAGCAGAAAGCCAAAGTCGCTTACACCTGCTATTTCTACAGGGGTCTGGAAACTCATGAAAAGCCCAACATGGGACCTATCTTCTGGCTCCATTTCAAGCAAATTCTGGTCTTTAAAAAGAACACTACTTCCAGTTACCTCATAATTTGGATGGCTAACAAGAACCTGCAATAAGGCAGGCATTTCTCATGAGAATTACAAGGTGATAGAAAAAACACAGATGCCAATGCCTTCATGTCATGCACTTTTCGTAACTCTAGTATTGTTCCTTTTGTACAGAAGACCTATTAAAGTAGTAAGCTTCAATAATAAAACAAACGCTTAATTTTCTTTAAGTTTCGTCCAATGGAAAAGATATCAATCATATCAAGGTGCTTCTTTACGAGTATGAACAATTCAAACGAGAGCGACATCAAAAAGGTGAGAAGAAATGGCCGACGAGTCACCTTCGAAAACGTGAGTTTCCCCGATCCATTCTTCCCCATAATCGCGTACACCTAAAAATGAAAGGCGTTCAGTCGAAAACCCGGAACCCTAACAGGAACAGAAATCGGACGCGACGAAGACAAGGCGACGGGAGACAGACCAACTTTGCCCTCGTGGATGGTGAGATTGACACCACCAACAGGATTCCCTTGCCCGGACTGCTTGACGACGGCCTTCAAATCTTTCACCACCAACAGGATCCTCCAAGGAAGTTCCGGGAGGCGGAGTCGCCCGTGGAGGGGCAGTCGACGGTGAGCGTCGCGTTCGCCCATAGAGGGGCGTGGGGGCAAGGGAGGCGGGACCGGAGCCGTCTTGGATTGAGGAGAGCAGCGACATATGTTCGAGAGGGCGTCGGGAGATAGCTCCGAAAAGAGATGGAAGTCGAAGGAGAAGAGATGGCGGAGGAATGGAGGCGAAGGAGGAATCGGTGAGTAGAGCCATGGCGGAAGTCTACTTTCAGTTTGGGTATCTGAGTGGTGGCAACGCTTTTCTTTCTTATTTTTCGTATTTTCTTTAATCCGGTTTTTTAATATTATAAAAAAAATTAATCTTTTAATCCTTTTGAATGAATTATCTTAGAATAAATTCTAAAAAAAACCTCAATTTTTTACTTTTCCTCGTGTTTTATTCTCAAATAACGTCGTTTATATTCTTAAAAAATAAACCCTCATCCTTTATTGTATCAATCGTCACCTTCATCTTGTCTCCTTGCCCTTCTAAGTTGAAGGAGCCCATCACCCATCCACAACCTCTTTCTTTTGAGCAACAGAACGAGAGCGATGAAGACAAGGATAAATTGAAGGAGCCCATCACCCATCCACAACCTCTTTCCTTTGAGCAACAGAACGAGAGCGATGAAAACAAGGATAACATCAGAGAGGAGAAAATCATCATTCTCATCACAGGAAGGAGATGATAATATAGACAAAGACAACAATCGTTACTCGTTTCCTCGTGTACTCTCGGTTAATGTATCAAATTTAAAGAGGTAGAATATCTATATCAAATTTAAAGAGGTAAGACATCAAACGCCTAAACCTAAAACCTAAAGATAAGGGGTGGGCGACATGCTCCTCCCACATGGGAGGATAAGGGGTGAGGGTGAAGGCCGACAAAACGAAAACCTAAAGATAATATTATCTTTTGAAAAATTAAAAGCACTTTACAAGAATAAAGTTAAAGAAAAGGACACCATGCAAGAAAAAAAATAATAATAACTTGATTTTTTTTTAGAAACTTACCCGTTATTTTTTTCTTTGATTAAATAATTAAATCATTTCAAATGAAATAATCAAATCCATTAGCTGTATAAGATTTTTCGGATTAAATAAGGGAACTAATTAAGTCTCTTTTTTTTAAGCATGAACTATCTAACAATAGAAATATATTAAACCTTACACACAAATACTTGGCATCTTATTTTTGGATATCATGTCTAAAATAATAAGCTTCATGTATAATTTCTACGAAATACCAAATCAAATCTGACCAGCTCTTCTCTAGCAGACTGAAAAGAGTATAAATGTAACTTGTCAAGTTTATTCAGTCAACTATTCATTGAAAGAAGCAAAATGAATGTGAACTGAACAAAAATTCTAACTTTCAAATTTCAATACAAAACAAAAGATAAATAGTTTTCTATCTACCAGTAGACATTAATAAATCACATGAATGGGATACTCCAATACATGAAAATTAATGAGTTCTCTATACTATTATGCCTTCTTCCCAGTTGATCGTTTTAAAGCATAATCTCTTAGCCTTGCAAGTATCATCCTTTCACTCGTTCGCAGTATCAGAGAATGGTACAGCTTCCTGTCTTTAACTGGACAACATCTTTTCAACATGTTCATGTCCTCATCCAGGGAGCTTGTGCCATAGAGGCTTTCCCTCAAATCAGCAAGTGATATTAAGGCAGAACATACATTCTCCGACACCAACAGTTCTTTGATGTCTTCCGGTTTCTTATGACCCTTTACTTTGCGGAATTTATTTCTCGTGATCTTGATTAAGTTCACAATATTTGTAGATTCATCTGGGCCCTCAAATGCATCAACCATGTAGGTCAGCTTCTCATAAGCATCATCTGCCAAAAAGATGATATAAAGAAGGACAAGAAGCTCCAGTTGTGGTTCCCCATCATAAGATATTTCAAAGTACTCAGTATGCTGGCTAGTGCATCCTGAATAATTTAGCCTTCTCCACAAAGAAATTCTTGCTCTGGCATAACGATTGGAGAATGTGGATGAGCACCATCTAACTAACAAGGCCAGGTCAATGTTAACAATGTCAAATGGGTTGTCAGCTTCAGTGAACCCATATCTGTGAAGCAGGGCAGCATTGCCCATAGATCCATACGTGTTGAAAACCTGAAAAAGATGGATCTCATATCAGTCTGATTTGGTTGGTAACATACATGAAAATACAATAGAAGCTGAAGCACATCACTCATTAGAGTTGATGAAAAGGACATGCAGAATGGAACTGCGAGGAGGACAAGTGAAATAATGGAGACTTTTGAGTGGTGAGAAGGAAATAACTGAGAGAAAAGGTGCCAGAACTACGAGCTAAGTTTAGGTTTGAATGATTCTCCAGCTGGCTTTAGGGACAACATGTAAACAAGATATATCCAATTTGTCCACCTAATGGTGCTTGTCGAGGTTTTGATTGGCTTGAAAGGTTAGTCGGTTGATTAAAAAGAGCAGCATTGACAATGAAGACTTGTAGCTATATAACTCTCAAAGAGGTGTAGGTGTGTGTGTGTGTGTGTTCGGGTGATTAACAAGGGAAAAGAAACTAACATGTTACAAATCTTTGGATTCTATGTTTTCTCACAGTAGGTGTCACTTTTTAGAGTTCCTAGGTTTCTAGTTAGCTAATCATCTTACTTATGGAATAAAATGTTCCATGTTTTCTTACAGTAGCTTACATCTTTCAACAAATAGTCGGTCAATTCAATAAAAGAACAGCATGCTACAAGATAAGAATGATAGAAGCAATCCATTAGACAGTTGAATGTTGAGGTGATTAGTTTTAGAACTCAGACATTAAGCAGAAAGCCTTACGCAGTCAAAAGCTTTGATCCGGAAAAAAAATGCAAATAAAAGATATCCTGAAAATTTAAACTTGTCTAAAGAGCTATTATGAGAATCTACAAGTATCAAGAACTGCAAGAGAAGGGCCTAGTATAGTTCACGAGGAACTAACTGTAGTGGCACTAAACTAACCTAAGGCTCTACTGAAATATATAATTCAAAGTATCAGAAAATGAAATATCCTTTGGTCCATAAAGAGTGGGAGATTTACAATATGGGTGAATTGCAAAAAAGGAAAATCATAGGATATTTGTATCACTGTGTTGTAGCATCTAAAACATAAATACAGCTATTCTAAAATTAAAAACCATCCAACAGCAAACCAGTATATCCCCAACTTTAGTTCAAAGTAAATTGGTTGATCCCAAACAAATAATGTCAGTGATGACAAAGCAACATGGGATTGGCATCAGAAAGAAGTTTATAATGGATAGCAAACACCAAAAGAATTTTTTTTAATTAAGAATACTAAAAAATACAGGAGAAAGCATCAACTTGGTTGGTACCTCACTATGTCATTCTTAAATTTTAGATAATTTAATCAACTTTGTTGATGCAAGAGAAAGTGAGACAATCTTAAGGATGCATGAACAAATCATAGTAGTATCCTGATATATAAATCTTACCAAGATCCACGAGTCACCAAAAATACTTCATACATGTGATTACACAGGAAACTTATAATATTGTGCTAAAATTACATGTATGAAAAATTACAAAGAAAGTGAAAATAAAAAATACTAACCTCAAATCCTGCCTCAACATTTCTCACGATAATCATTTCTAGAGCAGTATTATCTTCTCCTAAACAATAGAAAACAATATCATTAGGTTAATTTTCCCAACCAGAAAAGCTCCTTCTAAAAAGTGTGGTTGGATCACAGTGAAACCTGAAGAGCTAGTATTGGATTCGTCAATTAATAATTTATCATCACTAGCCTCATCACTGGCATGATCATCTCCTTCATCATCTGAGCTAGAAGGGGAACATACAGAGGTCAAATGGACATTCTCAGCTCCTGTCTTGTGATTGAAGCTGAAGTGTTTTTAGAACATAGTTAAACAAGGAAAAAACAATTGGATAAATGGTTCCTCTACACATCTGTGTAGAGTGTGCTTAGAACTTGAATATTTGTCATAACAAATGGTTAACTTACAGATCAGCTAAAGGTACCATTCCATATCCGTGATAATCATCTATTTCAAAAGATCTTGATGAAACCAGACTCTTGGCAGAAAAATATTGCTCAACACCAAAATTATCTTGGTCAAGCTTCCATTCACCAGATAGAATTAGGGGTTCAATACATTCTCTCCAATCCTCACATAAGATCGTCTTGTCTTGCTTCACTGCCTGTCTAGATATTTCCAGAACACAGTGAAAAAGAAAATTAATCAGTATCAGAAGCCTCTGTATAAAGTGCAGAGTGTACAACATCTTATCCAGTGGATAAAAATACTTCCATTGCAACAAGATTTGTAGATAAAAGAATGTCCACTGAACATTGCATACAACAAGAGAACATGACTGCAAACATGCAGATCATAGATGGGAAAATGGAATCAGTTTGTAAGCCAGCCAAGAGGACCACAACAACACAAAAGGGACCATTAACAAACTAAATTAAATTAATATGTCCAACTGAAGTTGTCAGCAGGTTATACAGAGCCAAAATGAAATGCAAACAAACCAAGTTTATTTTGGCATGTAAAAAAAAAATCTTGATCACCTCAGAACCTAATGGGGCTGATGCCAAGCAGATGAAATTGTTTTATTATGGCTATTCAAGTTACTCAGACATGATGAGCACAATAACAATGTTTTTTTTTTAAGAATAAGAATCTCTATTCATTCCATATGTGAAATAATACATGAAAGAACACAGAAAGAAGAAGATAATTCAAAATACAGGCTGATGCCAAGTAGATGAAATTGTCTTATAATGCCTATTCAAGTTACTCAGACATGATGAGCACGAAAACAATCTGTTTTTCAAGAGAATATAAATCTTCATTCATTCCATAAGAAGTGAAATGATATATGAAAGAATACAGAAGGAGAAAAGATAATTCATATAAAGGGAGAACAACCACCAAAGAATTGATGCCAAAGATCATGAAAAACAAAAAGGAAGAATAATAAAAAGGAAAACAACAGAAAGAAAAAAAGGTGCTGAATGAAGAAACAGGTCGACAGGTCACTCACGTAAATGTAAACCAAGCAGAGTACAAACAACATGATGTCGTGTAGGCATCTGATGAACTGTATCATGGCCTCCACCAGCTTATACATTGCAGAATAGAAGTTTTTTCATCTCAGGACCATATAGATGTGAGTTCCAGAAATATGAAATAATGATTAGTAAAAATACCTAACCAAGTCCAACTAGATTAACCTTCCACAGAAGAAAAACGATGTATGTAACATAGCTGTTCTGTGTTCTATTATTCCAAGCTCAGTATAATGAAAGTGGAAAACATAGTACAAAATGCTGAAAGGATCAAATATAAAATTTAAGCCATTATTAGATGCTTAATAACTCATTAACAATTGGACATAAAGAATCGACAATGCAATACAAAACCAGAATTTTTATACCTTGTGGAGCTCCGTTCCGCAGAGAAACGTGTCGACTTCCCGCCAGGTCCAGACGAGAGGCACGCACTCCCTCTCCGGCAAGAGCTGGAGGTACCCCTGCCACGGCGACGCGGGTCCGCGGCTCCTCTCGTACATGAGAGCCACGACCAGGCCAAGACATCCCGCCAAACCGGCGCTCTCGATCATGTCGCGCGCGGCGGAGGTCCGGATGGTAAGGCACGCGCTCTTCGGGATGGTGGCCACGAGGTCCCCTTCCGTCAGGTCGCAGACGGCCCTCACCGAGATTCCATCGCCGCTTTCGCTGCCGGCGTCGTCGAGCTTCAGGGCGTCGCTGCAATCGATGCCGTGGGATCTCATCCATCGCTTGAAGGTCCTCAATCGCCTGACATTGAAGAGGCTAAGACATGCACTACAAAGCTATGCATTAGGATAGGAGAAGAAAGGCGTACCGGCTCATCACAGGAGGCGTCGGCGGTCTGCGCTTTTGGTAACGAGAACGAAGGTGAGGATTCAAACGTGTAGGGTTTGCTCGAGCGCCGGCCGGGGCTCCATTTAAGGATCCGGGAAACGAGTAATCGTGAAAAAGCGGGAAACGAGAAACAGGAGAAACTGATATTTATGCACTTTTAATTAATCTTCATTGTCATTGACTGTTACTTGAAACTCTAATTATCATCAATACCTTTAAGAACTCATTGCTTTTAAAGAAATTTAAGTATATATATATATATATATATATATATATATATATATATATATATATATATATATATATATATATATATATATATATATATATATATATATATCTCTTTATATATATATA